TTCTCATTTAATGCCATATTTATAATCGGTATCGAACAATGTGCTTCACTAACCCTACAATGTAAGATATTTTAGCAGAGACCCCCAAATTTTCGCTAAGTTCAGTTTTGACCTTTTTGAAATACTGTAATCTCCTCCAAACAATATAACACTAAATTATAGAAACAGAAATATATGTTAACTAATCCCTCTGGCCAGCCCGAGGAGAGACTCAAATGGGTGCAAGTGGTCTGGTTAAACTAAATCTTGATGATGATGATGATTATCGGCGAATGTTCACTCTACAGTCGCAGGGGGGGTGGTGGAGGTTTGGGGGGGGGGGAGTAGGATCCACTTGCAGCTCATTATGAATTCATGAAATAGGAAGAGTTTCTTGGGCAGTTGATCCAAAAAGATTTACCAAAACGTTATGTCAGAGTAATAATACTTAACCTAGGTGTTACTAATACCATTAATTTACTCTAGTAGATAAAAGCCTGCATCAGTTACCACAACATAATATTACTCTGCCATTTCAGATATGCCTGCAGGACGAGCAAATTCGTTGGCAGTGATTGCTGAGCGAGGCCAAATCATCGGGATGTGGAGAGACGGGGCAACTGTGCCGAACAATGCTGTCGAAGTGGGGAGGAGCACCAAGACGATTAGGAGGTGGATCCGCCGGTGGGAGGAAGAGGGCTCAGTGGAGACGAAACCTCGAAGCGGGAGGCCACGAGTAACGTCGGTAGGGATGGACGCCATGATTGTGGCAGCTGCAACGGCATATCCAATGCGAACATCAGTGGAGCATACAAGAAATCTGGGCCTCAACTGCCATCACAAGACAATGAGACGCCGACTTCATGAAGCCGGGATCGACTGCCATATTCCAGCTCACAAAGGGTGGCTAACACCTACTCACAAGGAGTGTCGACGCAGCCTTGCATTGGAACACCTTCCACATAGAGAAGAATACTGGAGAACCATTATATTTACCGATGAAACAGTGTTCAGGTCAGTGGGAGCCGAACAAGGCAATGCTGGCGGCTCCCCAACACAGGCTACCATGAGAAACACATTCAACATCGCGCAGTGAGTGGTAGGGTGTCAGTGTCATTCTGGGTGTGGATGTGGCCACATGGGCCAGGTGAACTAGTCAAGATCAATGGCTGTTTCACTGGTGAGCAGTATGTAGACATCCTGGAGCAAGTGCTAATTCCTACAGTCCGGGCTATGGCAGTTCCAGCCCCCCCACACTATCAGGCTGGTTCATGACAACAGTCCCATTCATACCAGCAACATAGTGAAGGACTACCTCCAGGATCACCCTGAAATTGAGGTCATCGACTGGCCAACACTAGGATGTGATATTAATCCGATTGAACATATTTGGGCCATGATGAAACGTGATTGGGATATTGGGGAGCAGCGAACCTGTGCAGCAATAGAGGCCAAAGCTTAAGATGTGTGGGAGAATATACGTCGATGACCAGAGGTGTGCCTGAAGCTGGTCGACTCCATCCCTAATCGCCTTGATGAAGTCCTGAACGCAATGGGTGGCTGGACCAAATACTAAGATGTGTGTATTGGTGTATTGTTTGGATTTTAGTATTGTTTGTAAATACAATGAATATACATTAACCCACCTACAGTGTTATCTTAAATCCATGTCCTTAATGATGTCTTAAACTATATCACATGAAAATTCACAACACAGTAACTTAACAGCCACAAATTATGTATTGTGTGGTATACAATGATCTGTATGACACGTCGTGGAATGTGTTGTCTGATAACACAATATAATTATATAGCTACAATTGCTACCATCATTGAAATGCTCATGATGTTCAGCACACAATATTAACAGTAACTGAGCACACTCCAAAATATATGAAGCTTGCATATTGTGGTGGGGTGTTTAAACACTGGAACTTGGAAGAATTGGAACTTGATTAAGTCTGAATACTATTTTACAATACTGATAACTTTTTCACTCCACTCTTTTTAACATAAGTATATAATTATATAATATTGCATATTATCACAAATATTTATTAAGCAAAGGATGGGTGGAATATAAATAAATATTAAAATAATCTCTTTGTCGGAATAACAAAATTGTGACGTGGTAGCTGACTAAAACTAGCTGACCAAGGCCCTTCACGCTGATCCTTGCATATTTCACTTTAATCCTTAATATATTCCATTCTTTAAAGTATCATTGTGACCTGAGCGGCAATAAGCACCTAGGGCACTGCACCTGTTCCATGAATTCGTAACCATAAAGAAACAACTGTAAGACAAAATGTAGTTAAAAAGGCAGATTGAAATTTTGGTGGTATAAATAATAAATAAACCTGCCTCTCATCCAGCCCCCACCTCCTCTATCCCCCACACACACACTACAGTGGGCGACAACTGTTGGCCGACCATAGCATTTCCCCCAGCTGTTTCGAAACTTCAGACTCAAGGCTATTCAAAACCTCACTGTGGCTGGGTAGTGGACACGACTTTTGTGCACGATAGTACAACAGCAAGATCCGCGGTAATTGCCACAGTCTTATAGGTCTTCCTTGTTCTTATAAATATTGACGATGGAGGCGTCGTTATGAGCTTAGGGGATTTCCTCCTTTTCCCAAATACTGTATTCTCCAGGCGAGAGTGGAGATGCCTGGTAAGGAGAGGTCCTCCCTTTATACACCTCGGCTGGGATGCCATCAGGCCTTGAGGCTTTGTTATTTTTCATCTGTTTGATGGCAGTAGCTACCTCATCCATGGATGGAGAATAGCTGAGTTGGGTCAGCTCTGGGTGCTGAGGGTCCTGTTGGGCAGTGAGGACAGCCACATCGGTGTTTCGGTTGAGCAGTGAATGGTAGTGCTCTCTCCAGCGCTGAAGGAAGCCTTCACCATCTTAAATTATGGAGTTACCGTCAAATGAGCGGAGGGGGGAGGGGGTGGAGGGGGGAGAGCTCTGCCACGAATGATTGGCCCATAAAAGGTTTTGGTGGAATTGAAAAATTCGCGCATCTTGTGCTGAGCTGCAAATTTTTGTGTTTCAATGCTTTATTTTTAAGACAGTCATTCTTTTGATTGCAGATTTCGTGCTGGTCCTCTGCTTTCTTCTTGAAGAAGGTACCAGCTTTGGTTCGAGACTGAGGGTTGTTCTGCCAGTCAGTTAAAGAGGCACATTAATCATTGATGTTTACATTGATTGCCGGGTCATTTTCATCAAACCAGTCCTGGTGTATTCTTTCGATCTGGCCGAGGGTCTCTTTGCGGGTTTTTGTCATGACAGTGTCGAAAATACCCCTTTTGGCACTGGGACTTGGGTTGTTTGTTGTTGGGTTATTTATCAGCCCATGTTCGAGCTGCTCCCTGAAAGCATGTGCTACCGCCGGTTCTTCCAGACGCTTAGTGTTAAGACCTCTTCTGGAAGCTTGCTGCCATCGCCATTTTGGGACGAAGTGAAGTGAGATCTTGGCTCTGACGAGCTGATGATCAGTGTTGCAGTGGTCTGAGCCACGCATGGCTTGGGTGATAAGGACTTCTCAGCCATCTCTTTCTCTGACAATGAGATGCCAGTGTTTGGATCGTAGGTGTTGCCACGAACCCTTGAACTTGTAGGCCTGCCTAAACAAGGTATTGGTGATAGTGAGGTTGTGTGCAGCACATTTGCTGAGGAGGAGTAGGCCGTTTGGATTACACTGCCTAGTCCATTTCTCTCTATGGCTCCATGCCAAATGTCAGCATCTCTGCCAACTCTGGCATTGAAGTCACCAAGGAGTCAACCTTTTCTTCTCTGGGGATAGAGGTTAGCACTCTGTCGAGGTCGGCGTAAAAGGCATGAGGTGAGTTATTCAGTGGGACTCGAAGCGTCATGAGGCACTCGTTGTTCCCAATAGGCATTTCAGTTAGCCTGTCTAGTATGCGTTGGTGGATGGCAAAGCCAACTCTATAAACGCGATTTCTCTCCATAGCAGGCTTACCTTTCCAAAATAAGGTATATGTAGACTCCTGTTCTGTGAGTTGACCCTCGTCTGGAAGCTGGGACTATTTGAGGTCTGTTATGTTGATGTTATACCAAGCCAGCTCTTTAGCCACAAGGGCGGTTCTTCTTTCAGGATGCCCATTTGTGCCAGTATCCAGATGGGTCCTGCCATTCCATGCAGTAACCATAAGAGGTTGTATAGTTTGTTTTGTTTGGATCTGTGATTTTGATTGTGTTTTCGACCGCATAAGGATGACCTTATTGGGTGCGGTTTCCCATTCAGGTTTTTTTTTTTTTAGGTAGGCTACGTTTAGGGCACCTTTTCTAGCCCCCTCCTTATGTGGGCTGAGCAGAGCGGCTCCTCGATCGGGCTGCTCAGTTACACAGACAGGACCAGATTGCACTGCTGCCTAGATCCTGCCAATGTATAAACGTCTATCTTATTTCTGCCGCCCATGTGCGGAGTTGTGACTAGAGACTCCCAGCAGTAATCTCTGCCTCTCCCCGTCGCTACTCGTCCGTCGCTATAGAATTTTTGGGGGTATACGGGTTTTGATGATGATGAAGGGCGCCGGTGGTAGAGCGGTATCGCTCTTACCTAGCAAGCAGGATGTCAAGGGTTCGATTCCCGGGCCGGCGGAAAGTTGTTTGGACACTCTTCCTAGCCCCCTTGGTCCCTGTTCACCTAGCAGTAAGTAGGTACCTGTTGTAAATCGAAAAGTTACGAATTCGTATTCAGGGAAAGTTGTTGGAGCTTCTATTGCTCGCATTACATGCATGATGATGAGCTGGATGATGGCTGCGCGTGAGTTGATTTATGTGGTGAGGCAGGAGAGTAAGCTGCATCTACACATCTTGGCTCTCTCTTTTCCTGATCCAGTGGGGGTCCATGCTAGAACCCCATCTAAAACTACACCCTTTCCTCACTCCCTGAAAATCATCTTTCAAGCCTCCCCCTTCGTAAAGATGAGTTTCCAGGAGCCAGACTCACCCTAGAATTGTATTATAAGTCTCCAAGAGTGTTACTCACGTAGGTGGTGGTGGGTAGAGCACACACGTAGATGAAGACGAGGAGAAAGAGTACAAAGATCTCTCGGTGTCGGCCCAGTAGACGTGGGTACTCGTCACACAGCCCAGTGATCATGGCCTCCAGCCCTCCAAACGTGCTGTCCAGACCTGTAAGGAAGGGGTGAATTAGTTATTATTATTGTCATTGTCATTTTCATTGTCATAATAATCATCATTATTACGGCAACTTTCGAAAGTGCTGTTCAGACCTGTAGTGGAGAGAATTTGTAATTTTTATTGTCATTATTATTTTTATTAATGTCATTAGCACCATCATTAGCATTATGATAACTACTTGTAAGCGTCATCATTTTTTTATTGTTAAAACTGGCATTCTCAATACCATCATCATCACCATCATCTCATCATCATCATTATCATCATCAAGGCTACTATCGTTATTGCCATCATCATCTTCGAGTTGTATCTTATTATTGTCATTATCATTAATAATAATAATCATATTATTATTATTATTATTATTATTATTATTATTAATATTATTACTATTATTATTATTATTATTATTATTATTATTATTATTATTATTATTATTATTATTATTATTATTATTATTATTATTATTATTATTATTGTTATTATTATGTAGTCATAGGACAACAAAACACCACCAACACGCAGCATCTTCATGACGGAGTGTTCAATTAACAGTACGTAACTACAGGTGATAGTATACCCTCACCTGTGTGTCTGTGTGTGTGTGTGTGTGTACTCAGCCACTATAATGACCTACATCTGCCCTATTGGTGTTCCTCCTCCCCGCTTTGCTGCCTGACTAGGCCCCAGGAGCCTAAGGTACAAATTCTCAACGTTCGCAAATAGAAATAAATAGAAATGCATAAATAATCGCTTTTAATTATTGTTAAGTGAAAAGAAGGTAACAAGACAGTTTAATTAAGGCGATTTCGATCGACTTTTCCTTCGTGTCTTAAGAACCGTAGCTTAGTCTTTAGTTTTTTAGATGTATTTTTGAACCCATAGTTAAAAGGAGGAAATATTACACATGAACAGCTGGGAATACGGCCTCAAGACAATGGTGAGTGAGAAGGAGGAGGGAGGGAAGGAAGGAGGGAGGGAGGAGGAAGACAGATTGCCGCGGGTGCAGAGGAAGCCCCTATGGGGGATCCCTCTGGCCTGAGTCATCCACCTGATGCCCCGCATACTGTAGTTATTCCTAGTGTGTGTGTGTGTGTGTGTGTGTGTGTGTGCGTGTGTAATGATCCACCCCTTGGTCCGACTCACTACATGCGGTAACATCGCGGTGATGAATGAGACAATTTTCTAAAAAAAATTATTAAGAAAATTTATTTCTAACAAGGCTGTTAAATGTATGGAAGTAAATAATAATTAATTAATAAAATATCATAATTCAACATGAGGAGTGGCCACATTTCTATGATCTATTATTATTCTATATAAGGTGGTGGTTTACGCTGTTCACAAGATACGTGACAATTGATATGACAGCGAAGTTAGTGTGATTACTCTCATTATCCCCCACTAGTTAGTTTAGTGTATGTACAACCTCAGGCTGGTTAAGCCGGGATATATATATATATATATATATATATATATATATATATATATATATATATATATATATATATATATATATATATATATATATATATTGATAAAATCACACGGGAAAAGGGAAACAACGTTTCCCTTATCCACGTTTTCATTGTGGATCTACATGAAATATATATATATATATATATATTTCATGTAAATCCACAATGAAAACGTGGATAAGATAAATCTTGATAAAATCACACGGGAAAATGGGAACAACGGAGCACCTTAGCTTTCGTCTTTATTCAAGACATCTTCAGATGTCTATTTGGTCATAACAAGAGCACTCCAAATACTTCGGGTATCATGTGTCAGTGTGTCACGAGTGTCCAAAATTGGTGATTTAAAAAACTACTGCATTCCCTAATCTTTGGATAAATGCACCAATCTTATATTTAATGTTGTTTCTAGTTGTTCCATAATACAATACAAAAATTTTAACTCAATAATAGCTATAAATTATTACAACATAGTATAAAATGCTATAACATTGTATAGTCTCGTACAGATTATATATGTATCCTTGTTAACTTATGTGTATTAACGATACGTAATGCACAGAATACACCGTGTTGGTTTCACAATGCCTTACACAATCAGAAGTGCCAACCTTACCAAATGAACGGGGCCTCAGTCACTGATCGTTGCGAAGGCCGTCAGGCCCAGGGGTGCATAAATTTGGTTGTGATTGTTGACTGTACAACCATGTAGATATATAATGACTTAATGACTTGGATACAGCGCTCGCCTCTGTTCTATAGATCAATCCTCGGGCACTCTCAATTCACCCAGATGTAAGTGGGTACCTACTTTTACAACCTCGGGAAGTGGATGCAGTGGAGTGGAGTGCAGTACTGACTATGCTGCCTCCATGCGTACAGCAGTGGTTCTCACACGAGGCGCCCCCCTCAGTATGGGAACCACTGGTGTGTTGTATTTACAATGTCCCTACACGACTCTACATTCAGCAGCCTAGTTATTGATAAATAACCGTCGTAATTGTTGTGATAAACTTGTTTCTCATTCATCACTGAGAAACGCCACCAATGGGTGTAACATTAGCCGGCAACTGTACACTTATCGGACATGGACAGTTACAAGTAAACAGCCCTTTTACCGTGCATGATTAACATGAGGGAAACAGATTACTTTGAATGAATGGCAGTAAATAAAGGGGCCTCTTATCGAGTGTGAAAACCATATGGTAAACAGGCCACATAGTGAACAGGGACAAGAATTTTAAATTGGCCACTTCCTCAGCGTGATGAGCATAAGACAAACAGGCCACCTGCCAAAGATGACAGTAAATAAAAAGGTCACCTATGGAGCATAAGGGGCATAAGGTTAAAAGGCTACTTAGAGAGTATAGAATAGATAAGAGTAATAAACAGACCACTTACCGAGCGTGATGAGCATGAGGAAGAAGATGATTGACCAGAAGACAGAGCCCGTCATGGTAGCGATGGCTTCAGGGTAGACAGTAAACACCAGCCCAGGACCTGACGGAGAGTAGGCAGGTAATGGGATACTGTGGGCCTGTATCAAGCTGTGTATATCTGGGTGTATTAAACTGTATCAAGCTGTGTCTATCTGGGTGTATTAAACTGTATCAAGCTGTGTCTATCTGGGTGTATTATACAGTATCAAGCTGTGTCTATCTTTGTGTATTATACGGTATCAATCTGTGTCTATCTGGGAGTATTATACTGTATCAAGCTGTGTTTATCTGGGTGTATTATACTGTATCAAGCTGTGTTTATCTGGGTGTATTATACTGTATCAAGCTGTGTTTATCTGGGTGTATTATACTGTATCAAGCTGTGTCTATCTGGGTGTATTATACTGTATCAAGCTGTGTCTATCTGGGTGTATTATACTGTATCAAGCTGTGTTTATCTGGGTGTATTATACTGTATCAAGCTGTGTCTATCTGGGTGTATTATACAGTATCAAGCTGTGTCTATCTTTGTGTATTATACGGTATCAATCTGTGTCTATCTGGGAGTATTATACTGTATCAAGCTGTGTTTATCTGGGTGTATTATACTGTATCAAGCTGTGTTTATCTGGGTGTATTATACTGTATCAAGCTGTGTTTATCTGGGTGTATTATACTGTATCAAGCTGTGTCTATCTGGGTGTATTATACTGTATCAAGCTGTGTCTATCTGGGTGTATTATACTGTATCAAGCTGTGTTTATCTGGGTGTATTATACTGTATCAAGCTGTGTCTATCTGGGTGTATTATACTGTATCAAGCTGTGTTTATCTGGGTGTATTATACTGTATCAAGCTGTGTTTATCTGGGTGTATTATACTGTATCAAGCTGTGTTTATCTGGGTGTATTATACAGTATCAAGCTGTGTCTATCTGGGTGTATTGGGTGTACTGTATCAAGCTGTGTTTATCTGGGTGTATTATACTGTATCAAGCTGTGTCTATCTGGGTGTATTATACTGTATCAAGCTGTGTTTATCTGGGTGTATTATACTGTATCAAGCTGTGTTTATCTGGGTGTATTATACAGTATCAAGCTGTGTTTATCTGGGTGTATTTTACTGTATCAAGCTGTGTATATCTGGTGTATTATACTCTATCAAGCTGCGTATATCTGGGTGTATTATACTGTATCAAGCTGTGTATATCTGGTGTATTATACTCTATCAAGCTGCGTATATCTGGGTGTATTTTAATGATCTTAAAAAGAAAAAAAATGTGCCCAACATTATAAACTCAATTAGTCAGCTACTCAAAATTTTTTACAAATCCAGTGGATCAGTGAAGGTTCTACCTGGAGAAATAACAGAGAACACTATGCAGAGCTACATGTGTGTACTCAGTGAGGCGACAACTGAGAATGACTTGTGATGGGGTGATCTGCCTCGAGAGTGTGTTGACGAATAGCACTATAGATGAGTTGTTAAAACGACCTGTTTATCCTAATTGACTTAGTCAGGTGTTCAAAGCAGTGGGCCTTAAGTTGACGTTTTGTTTTACCATCATAAATCGCATTACATTGAAGACACTCATATCAATATACTACAGACGATTGCAGTTCTTTAGGCACCACATCTTTAAATCTCAAAAATCTTTGAATGGTAAGGTCTGGTTAAAAAAAATTTCCCTAACATTTAAGAACATAAGTACATAAGAAAATAAGGAGTCTTCACTAGGACGTTTGGCCTGTGCACTGCAGCTCCTGTCGAGAGTTACAACTCTCTATCATCTATAAATCCATCTAGCCTCCTTTTGAAAGTTTCCAGCGTCCCAGCACTTACTACAAAGCTGCTAAGCTTATTCCACTCGTCTACTACCCTATTTGTGAACCAGTTTCTTCCTATCTCCCTCCTTAACCTAAACTTATCCAACTTAAATCCGTTGCTACGAGTCCTATCCTGCTCAGATATTATAAGAACTTTATCTATATCGTCTTTATTGATTCCTTTCACCCACTTAAATACTTTTATCATATCTCACCGCACTCTTCGTCTTTTTAGGGAATGCGAGTTACGTTTATTTAATCTATCTTGATATGGAAGTTTTCTTAGTCCCGGAATAATTTTCGTCATTCTTCGCTGCATCGACTCCAGTGAGTTGATATCCATTCTATGATAAGGGCACCAGAACTGAACACATAATCTAGGTGCGGCCTGACTAGCGCAAGATATAATTGAAATATGACGTCCGCACTCTTATTACTCACACTTCTAGATATAAAACCTAATACTCTGTTTGCCTTATTTCGAACACTAACTCACTGCTTTCTATGCTGAAGGTCCGGGCTTACAAGTACCCCAAGTCTCTTTCACAAGTCGACTTCTCTAGGTTGATGTTGTTAAGGCTGTATACATTGACAGTATTTGCTCTTCCAATATTAAGTACGCTGCACTTGCTGGTGTTCAATATCATTTGCCATTTCTGACCACTCCTGCAGTTAATTTAAATCCTCCTGTAATGCATTTGCATTTATCCTTAAATTAATCTGCCGCCCTATTTTGATGTCATCTGCAAACTTAAGTATGTCATACTGCTGATCCCATTCTCTAGATCGTTTATGTACTGTTGATTATGAACAAGAGTGGGCCCAATACTAACCCCTGGGGAACCCCACTAGTTATACAGCCCCACTCAGATTTAAAACCATCTACGCTGACCCTCTGTGTTCTATCGGTGAGCCATGATTTTATCCAATTTAAAACTTTCCCCTCGAACCATGAGCCTTAACTTTTCTCAGAAGCCTCTGATGCGGTACTCAGCCAAATGCTTTGCTAATGTCTAAGTAAATAACATCGAAATTTTCGTCATTATCTACTACCTCATAGACTTTCCTAAAAAAGTCAACAGATTTGTTGGACAGGATTTTCCCTTTGTAAATCCATGTTGAGAGTCGTAGATTAATTTGTTTTTCTCTAAATGCGATTGGATGGTATTTGCTATAATTGATTCAAGAAATTTATTCACTGCTGACTTCAAACTAATCGGCCGGGAATTTGACACTGATGCTCTGTCTCCCTTTTTGAATATGGGTGCTACATTTGCCTGTTTCCACAAGTCTGGCACAACTTCCGTGTCTAATGATTTTGTAAATAAATTTGCGAGGGGTCCACTAGTATGTTCCTTACACTCTTTCAAAACTCGAGGGAAAATTTCATCCTCGGGGATTTTGCCTTCTTCAATTTATTTATCTTCTTAAGAACATCCTCTTTTCTGATCGTGATATCCCTTAGTTTCTCTTCTTCATTTCCCCTAGATATCACTTCCATCTCTGGCGTTTTCTCATGAATTTCTTCTGTGAAAAATGATAAGAAGTAACGGTCTAATGCTTTGCTTATTTCCTCACTATCATCGATCATTTCCCCTCTCTCTCATTTAAAGGTCCCACTTTGTTTTTGACCTTAGTCCTATATACCTAGAAAAATCCCTTGGGATTTACCTTGGAGTCTCTTTCTATCCTGATTTCGAAGTCCCTCTTTGTCTTTATTACACTTTTCTTAACATTCCTAGATAGTTCATTATACCTATCTCTGAGATGCTCCTCCCCTCCCTTTAATTTCTGATAAATTCCTTTCTTTATTCCTATGTCATGTTTAAGTTTTCTGGTCATCCACCTTGGCTCATTCTTATTTGGCCTAATTTTTCTGTTTGGTATATTTTGTTCCTGTGCTTTATGTAGTATATTAGTGAATTAGTATAGTCATGTTCAATTGTTGTGTCGCCAATGACCTCACCCATTCCTACCAGAAACTGACTTGACCATTCCCAGGTGACCTCACCTAGATACCCTTCTTAACCCCTCATATTCGGCAGATCGAAAGTCTGGGACTCTGACCATATTGTCATTATTTTTCGTTTCCCAATTTAGGGTTAAACCTGATTTCTCTGTTATCACTGTTCCCTAGTTCTTCCCCTATTGTGATTTCTCTGATAATATTTTCTTTATTTGTTAATATATATATATATATATATATATATATATATATATATATATATATATATATATATATATATATATATATATATATATATATATATATATATATATATATATATATATATATATATATAAATACATATATATATATATATATATATATATATATATATATATATATATATATGTATGTATATTATGTATGCTGTATGTATATTATGCATGTGCTCCATTTATATACACTATTTATTCAGCCTAGCTATCAGCATGTGGCATTGTATTTACCATGTCCCACACGCTTAATTAATGTGCCTGGCGACATATGGAAGCTGCTAATTTATCACTTGCCACATGTCGCCTAAAAGGCTAGTTGACCCCCCAGACAGAGTATGGAGTGCTACCTCCATTGTGTACCTCTGTTTATCCAGTAAATAGAACCTACGAAAACTCTACAGGTGTTTGTGTTCGCTCCTGTAGATAGAACTTGATACCCAGAACTTATACATGGCCCAGTGTCAATTAACTGGATCATTATACAAGTGAAGTGTAAAGTTTGTGGCAAGACCGGCTTATGGACCCCTGCTCTGTGTCAACCACCGCTAATGGCCGTCTCTTCAAAGAATTTATAGCAACTTTGAGCAGTGTCAGTGACAGTAATTTACTGTGAAGTGTATAGTGCATTGTGTGTTTTGTGCCATAACTGTGTGACCTTGTTCTAAAGGATTCCCAAGGTGTAAGGCATGTTCAC